TGGAGGATTCGCAGCCCGGAGTCTCTGCCGGGAGGGGGTGGGTGACCAGCCAGTGTAAGCACTCGACGGCACTCGAGGTGTCGGCGAACCCTGCCTCAAAGCACCTCGAAACTCAGACACTTGGTGGGGTGGAGCTGGGTTGGGAGCAACCCCCCCAGCAAGAACCCTGAGGAGATTGTGCAGTGAAGATGGCTCCTTAGGCACATGGATGATTTTTGAACCCCCAGGGGCGGGGGACCTAAGGCTAGACATGGCCCCCGACTTACCCTGAGGCTCAGGGATCCCCCCAACATCCGGGAGTCAGTGCTGATGCTCCACGCCCGAGCCACCCCCATTCCGTCCAGACCCTGCACCCCCACTTTGCTCCTGAACCCAACCTCCTAGGCAGACCCCTCACCCCCAGCTTGCTCCTGCACCCACTTTCCTGCCCACACCCCACACTCCAAGCCTTCTTCCAGCAGCTCTCTGAACCCCTCATTTTTGTCCCCATCCCTGAGCGTAGGGGGACCCACAAAATCTACTAGCCTGGACCCCGCTAGGCATGGGTATGTGGGGGGATGCAGGGAGCTTCTTTCTGCTTCCCAGTTGGGGCTCACATCCGTGAGGTGTCGGGTTTGTGCAGCCCCCGACTGATTTTTCTGTGGGTCAGCGGGCCCCAACCCAAAACAGGTTCCCCCCTTAGATGCTTTCGCAGCTGGCGCTGGTCCCCACGACACCGGCGTAAATCTGGAATAACTCTGCCAAGCACAAGCGTGTTTTCACTGGAGCAAGTCCTGAAAAACAGGTCTCACGCCAGCAATATCAACCCATCCCATTGTCTTTCCATTTAACCCCCTCCCCCATCATTTACTCACTGGAAAGGACTCAGCTTGCTTCCACCAAATAACAAAAGATTAAAAAAAACCCAGACAACCCACCACCCCTCTGCATTAAAGTCATTTTGCTCAATTGCTGCTCAAAATGCGTCCCCCCCTCGTATCAAGAAAAAATTGTTTCGGCCGGTTCCCATGTCACGGTGACCAGCCCGTACAGATCTGCCGTTCGACTGTGTCCTACAGCGGGGTCTGCCTGACATTCGCGGATTTCAATCGATCGGTTTTTTTCCCTCCTGCCCTTTCGGTGCCGTAACAACAATTTGAGCCCTTCAAAGCCCCGGCCAAGCCTCGATTAATAATGGCACAAACAACAGAGGCTGGGACGGAGGAATTCTTTTGGAACACAACCCTCCCGCTAACCGCCCGACCGCGGCCACTCATCTTTGCCCAGTGGGAAGATCTCTGGTGTACTCACGCCATGCGGGGGGGACTTTACTCGCCTTCACAGCTCCTCTGCCAGGTGGGGCAGTGCCATTACTGGAGAACGACCCGGAGAAACGAAGCCACTTAAAGGGAGTCGTGGCCGGGGCCAAAGGTTAAACTCTGGCCTTCCAGCGTGTTTCTACACTGCACAGACGACCCATGGCTGGGTTGGGCTGAGCCCTTCCCTCCCCCACCCCCACCAACACGAATCCACAGAAGATCTGGATCCGGAGCCCAATTCTCCTGCCCCTGGGATGAGTTTACTGGGCTGTGTTTAAAGGGATCCCTAAAAGGAAGAGGCAAGTGTATTTACGGACCCTCTATCATCTGAGGTGGCCATGTCTTTTCTGCCCCGGCCTGCCTGAGGGGCACCCCAAAAAGTGCCTGGTGCTGGTGCCGACTCGTAACGTGAAAATTGTTCACTGGCCACAGGCCCACGGGTTCCCACGGACAAGTCCTGCTTCCCCCCATGGCTAATCATGAAAGCAGCTACATGTTTTGCTAGTCTTTAAAGCATGGGTTCCCAAACTGGGGGGCGTGAAGGAATTCCGGGGGGGTGCAAGGCGACCCAGCCTCCCCCCCCCCAATCAATCCCCTTACTATTTTTGTTTTTCATCCTTGGTCAGTTTTGCTGCTGGGGCAGGAGGAGGGGCGTGAGGGTTTCTCAAAAATCAAAAAGGGGGCGCGATGCCGAAAAGTTTGGGAACCACTGCTTTAAAGTGCTACCAGGCTATTGGTTGTTTTTTAAGTTTATCCTATACAGACTCACTCGGCTACCCCCCGAAGCTTTTCCCGGCTCAGAGACACAGAGGCCTGGCCGTGGCGCTCTGGTGGTCTCACCCCAGTGCGGGATGGTCAGAGAACACCGGGAGGGGGTTAATTCTTCTCACCTGGGATTTTGGGAGCTCTGGGCAAGCCGAGTCAAGGATCCGCGCTGAACTCAGCCCTCGCGAACCGCTGGACACAGGGTAGGAGCGTTCAGCTGCGGCCTCCACTCCAGGTGCAACAATTTCTTCCAACGCCACCGCCTCTCTTATTTCACCTGATTAATAAGTCTCTGTTTTCCCAGGCCTGCAGCCGGGAAGCCCAGAGCTGCTCATCACAGGGCCGGGTTTCTCACTCCCCGCCCCTCCTGCGCCCGCCGGCCACTAGTAAATAGTGCGTTTCCCTCACACGCAGACACGCACGCGTGTGTACTTTAAAAAAAAAATCCCCACTGTGTTTCTTTCCCCTGCGAGCGAACCCGCGATAAGGTCGGGGCTGGGCTCTCGCTGCCCTGCCTCCTGGCTTTGGCCGGGATTCAAGTTTCAAAGACAACAAAAGCTCCCAGTGCGGCTAAAAGCCGCCGTACCAGTTTGCTCTCAGACCCCAGCAAGAATGTCCAGACCCCGGTGAAATAGACACGCCGCCTCCTCCGGGCCTGGTCTGCAAAAGGTTTTACAGGTCCCCCCCTTGCTTTCCTGCCGCTTTTCTTAGGATGGCCTGGGAGGTTTGTTTAACAAACTCTTCCCGGTCTTCCAGAAAGCTCCTGGAGCTAGTCTGCCGTTTCCTTCCTCGCTTTGTTACTCGAGAAATAAACGAAAAAAGCCCACAGCCCTTAAAACACCCGGTACGCACAGAGTGAGCTTTTGGGAGGAAGCGACAGGTAAACTTTCACGTGTCTCTGCACCCAAAGCGAATGCTCGCTGGGCACTCAGAGTGAATCCGGCCACCTGAGTCACAATAAGAATTTTTCTAAGCCCTTGCTCCATGGAAGGCAAGAAGACAAGAGTTACGGCAGGGCCTCCCCTCCCCTCCCATCGCCCCAGTGAGGTCCAGCGGCCCGGACCAGCGTTCCCTGTAAGCCGTGCGCTTGCGTGGCTGCTCAGGAGAGATGCCAGCGCCACCCCGTGGATTAGCAGAGTGCCCCCTGCTCGTTTAGACGGGTGGTGCCCATTGGCACCTGCCTCCGTGCACGTAAAAAAATTATTCCGCACAGGGGGCGGGAAAGATTAGCCAGAACGCTGGGCCTGCCCCATATCTGGCTGCAGGTTCATGGAGACCAGCTTGAAACCTGGCTCTGTGAAGCTGAACAAGGTGACCCTGAAAGGTACGGACCCAGAAGGAACAGAGCAGCTCTCCCCCATGAAATGTGGGATCCGTCGCCTTACCTTAGTTTGCAGCTACATCACCCTCCAGTGCTAGCTGCACCGGCCTCTGTCGCTTAGTATTAGCTCGACACGGAGCTAATTGTCCTGGGGGGCTGCTTGCAGATGACCTCCAGGTTTAGGGCTCCGTTCCATTAGGGCTCCGGGCCGTCCCTGCCTGCTGAAGGGGGCTGGCCAGGTTTCCTTTAAGAGTCTGGCTCCTCTCTGTTTTCCTCCCTTCTTTGTTCATGTGAAAATGGCAGCTGAGGGATTAATCATTACTAGGTGCACGGTCACTGAAAACAACCCGCCGCCTCCTCCCGCTGTGGCCAGGCCGTCGCCAAAGCTGGTAACCGCAGGAACCTGGCACAGCTGGACTCAAAAACTTGGCAGCTGCCGCGGACAGAAATCGCCGGGTGTGCAAGACGCTTATCAAAGCGCCAGGCTGCGTGGCCGGGTTGCCGTTAACCCCTTCCGTTTGGCAGGCATCCGGCCTGGCGAGGGAGCCTCACCCGGGCTCCGGCACGCCGCACGGATCCCTGTACCGCACTTGGATTTTACTCCTTTTTCAGTCGTGCTCTCCCAGCCCTTCGTGGGGGCAGTGAGTTCGGGGGGGTCCTGGGCTCTGCCGCTGGGGGATCTTAGCTGGACCAAGTATACCTTGTCGTTAAACTTGGTGGGTTTTTTTAAAAATACAAAGCAGCTTTATAAGTGGGGAAAAGCCCCTAAAGCCAGGTGGATGGCAATGGATGTGTGACCGGCTGGGCTGCCCGGACCGGCCGGGCGCGCCCGGGTCCGTGCACGCTCCAGAATTCTCCCTCCGCTGCTCGTGCGAGCACGGATCACTAGTGCTACCACTCAGCGGAGGCAGCAGGGGAGCTCACCAGGAGTGTGGCAACACAGTGGGGGAAACCCAAGTTTTTCCAAATCCAGCCACTGTACCGTGTCCACACTGCATTATGTGGAGTGTCTGCCACTTGAGCTGTGTCCACACGACACCGTGACAGGGCTCGGACCCTCACGTGCCGCTCTATCCCCCAGCAGGGGCCTGGCACCTGGGCTGGAGTGGTTGCAGACGCACGTCGGGCTGATTCGTGTGTAGATGGGAGGCTTACCCTGCAAGTCAGCGCCTGGGCTTAGTGCTGAGTGTAGACGTGCCCAGGTCGTCTCGCTCTGCTCCCTGTAGGCAACCGGTGTCTAGCCAGGGGTTGGTTTCCCAGCTGTTGTCTCTTGTGTTGTAACGGCCACACTAGGGCAGACCAAAGGCCCATCTAGCCCAGTGTCCTGTCTGCCAACACCAGATGCCCCAGAGAGAGTGAACAGAACAGGGAATCATCAACTGATCCCTCTCCTGTCGCCTATTCCCAACTTCTGACAGAGTCTAGGGACACCCTCCCTGCCCATCCTGGCTAACAGCTATTGATGGACCCAACCTCCATGAATTTATCTAGCTCTTTTTTGAACCCTGTTAAGGTCCTGGTCTTCACAACATCTTCCGGCAAGGAGTTCCACAGGTCGACTGTGCTGTGTGTGAAGAAAATCTTCCTTCTATTTGCTCTAAACCTGCTGCCTGTTCATTTCCTTTGGTGACCCCTCTGGTCCTTGTGCTACGGGAACAAAGAAATAACTTTTCCTTTTTTTCTTTACACTTGTCATGGTTTTATTCCCGCTCCCCTAGCAGGGCCGAGAATCAGGGGAGAAGGTGAGACCCTAATGACCATCACGGGGAGCGACTCTCCAAAGCTGGGAGCTTCCCAGTCTGGGCACAATGAGCCTCTACAGAGTGAACGAAAGAGCTAAATTCCCTGAGGCAGGGGGAGGTGTAGCAGAGATATGTCCTCTGGGGGCAGAAATGGGGGCCCCAGAACATGTGGGGATCAGGGAGCTCTGCTAACCATTCACCTGATGCCGTGATCCCACACAGTGTGTTTACCAGAGGGCAAGGGCAGTAGCATTACCCCCTCCTGCCAACCACAGGGCCAATCCTGATGCCAAAGGGACATCGCACATGGGCGGCCGGGTGTATTTTATTAGAAGGTGGAGCCGTTGCTCCTTCCAGATGGTTTTGGGCACCGCCCGAAGCTCAGGGTTTGCAATACAGACAAATGCATCCCCTAGCTGATTAGCCGAGCACCCACAGGTGGTAGCCTGTGTTTCCTCTGGTGGTGCACATCAGTGGTGCATGTAACAAAATTGATTCTGCACACACACTGAAAAAATTAGAGGGAACATTGCCGGCCATGCTCTGCTGGGAGGATTGGTCTGGCTGGCAGGGCAGGGGGACTTAGAGAAGTGATGTGTCTCAGCTGAGCTGTGCAACGGGCCATGTGCTGGCCCCGGGGCCAAGACCCTCCTGGGTGTGGCTGCTGCTGGCCGGGGTACCTCCCAGTAGCTAGTCCTGGGAGCAGGTGCGATGAGCCACTCCCCCCTCCTGTCCCCCAAGCTCCAGCTTCAGTCCCACCTGGCGAGGGGCAGCATGGGGCAGGGATGGCGCCTGCCCTCCATCTGACCCAGCTGTAGGGGGAGTGTGATGCACAGGGGGCCACAAGGCACAAGCGCCCCCCGGGGTCCCGCCTCCTGCTTTCTGGCTGAGAGTCAGCGACGAGCCCCAGAGCAACTCAGGGCTGGCAGGGGTGTGTGGGGGGGACCCGCCCAGGCTGCAGCCCAGGTGCCCGGCTCAGAAGTACATGGAGCCCTCCTTGGCCGCCCGGTCGTACTCCTGGATCCGCGCCTTGATGTGGGCGAGTTTCTTCTTCAGGTACTCGCAGCGCTCCTGCTTCTTCAGGAAGGCGGGGTCCTGCCGGGATGAGGGGGCCCAGTGTCAGCATCGCCACCCGTGGATCGGGGCTCCCCCCGCCTG